TGTGTGTGTGTGCGTGTGTGTGTGTATTTTCCTTAAACTCAGTATCACCAGCGTCACGTGAAAGAAATCCCACACCGCCTTAAGGAGACATTTGCCTGCGAGTCATGCGGTCTCTTTCCTCACCTGCGCCTTGGGTACGTCGTGCGCCAAGAGCCAGGCGAAGACGAGCGTGCGCGGCGGCGGCGCGGACACCCTGATGGGGCGGCACAGGGTGTCCAGCGAGTGCGGGAGGGCGGGCGCCTTGCCCCTCGCCTGGATGGAGGCTTCGCTCCCGCACAGGATGACAGCGACGCCAGGGTGCACGGCGGATTCCTGGCCGGCGATCGGGATGACGGGCGTGGCCGTGTCGTGGGTGCGGGCGCGGTGCATGAGTAGCAGCGTCGAGGCGAGGGTGGCAAGCAGGCTGGGCGAGGCCTCCGTGCACGCCCGCAACACCAGCCAGGATCCGCCCACCACCGACCCTGCAGGAGATGGAGAGGAGGTTGCAGAAGGCAAAGGACTGACATCGCAACCACTCAAATCTATGCAGATTCTATTCATGCCAGGCCACAGGGTCGACGAAGGCAAAGATTGATGCAACACAAGAGTCAGAAATTTTTTCTTATATAAAAACGGATGATATTACTATCAAATCCAGATATTGTTTGCTGTATTAAGGTTAACGTATCACATCTAGTACAATATCATGTATGTTTCTCCACATAAAAACTAAAAGAAACTCATTTACATTTTTGTGCCTGTTATACTAATTTAAAAACAAATGAATTGAACAATCGTTCGTATACATCAACAGCTTTGAACCTCATCTTCCTTCAGATCTGTTCACAAAATCAACAAAAGATTCATCTAATTCATCTAAGCATAAACCCGGTCACATGCAAGCAAGCGGTCAGGTAGTGCCATGGCGCCCGTGCTTCACCTGTGAGGAGCGCCGTGAGGCTCGCCGATGAGGTGAGCGATGAGAGCGTGAATGAGGTAATGAGTCTCCCGGCCAGGTGAGACGCCGTCGAAACCAGACTCTGCCGCCCGCAGCCGCCGTCGACGCCGCCTGCGGGTTCCGAAGTGAGGGCATTCAAGAGGCATTACGCTGACAAGGGTAACTTGAAAGAGTACATGTTCCTTGCTATCATGTTTTTTCATCAACCTATACTCTAATGGATTTGGTTAACTCAGTTCAGTGATATAAGCACTGATTATCAAAACAATATTCGGTTTACGCAAAAATACGTGTCATATAAAACACAATTTGTGCCCATAGTAGTTGTTGTGGGCGTCGTACCGAGTAGTAGGGGTGGTGAGTGGGCGGCGACGGCGGTGAAGAGCGCCAGCAAGCAGCGTTCCGTGGGCGGCGTCAGCACGTAGTCTGCCGGGCCGCAGCCGCTGTACTCGTAGCCGTAGTCGAGGGCACCTGCGAGGGACAGGGGAAGGTGCTCTCAGATCTATGAAAAATAATAGCCCTCACAAGAACTAGGGTAGGGTCTTCTTGCCATACAAATGATATTGCTGACGAGGCATAGTTGAGTGCTCACTGCCTGCCTCTCTCTCTCTTTCTCTCTCTCTCTCTCTCTCCCCCTTCTTCCATTCTCTTTTCCTCCGCCCCTCTTTCCTTTTTCCATTCACGCAATTCTTCTTTTTCTTCTTCTCTTTCTTCCCTTCCTTTATCCGCCCCTTCCTCTCCCTCCTTCCCAATCACCCCCTCACGGCCACTCACGATGTGCGGCGCGCAGCTGGAGGAGCTCGTGCTGGGGCTGCCACGTGTACCGGGGCTGAGCCAACCAAGTAAAGCTCCGGGAGGTGCTTGTGCTGAGGAGGGAACAGGATCATCATTAGCCCGGGATTACTGTGGTTTCAGCTTCACAAAATAACAAATCAGGTTACATATAACATGAGACGGAATGCAATGTATATCAGACTTAACGAACGTCTACGGCCTGTCTGTTTTGACTCACTTGTTGCGAACGAGAGTTGCCACGACGTCGCGCGCGTGCAGAGTGGCCATCAGCAGAGGCAGGATGCGGGGCGGGGGCAGGGGCGGCAGGGAGCCCTTCCTGCTGGTGCCTTGAGAACAAACAGATGCCGGCGTCCTTGCCGAACTCAGGGGCATTGCCTCCTCCTGGGCGAGAGAGTTAGCTATTTTTAGTGGGTGATTCAAACAATGTTCTGAACAAATAAGATAATTAGTCAAATGAGTGTGCATGTGTGTCCAAGTGCATGTGTGTGCGTCCAAGTTTCTTTCATTAGCACTCACTTCCTGTTCGTCTTTGGGGCCGTCGTGCTCCTGCGATGCGGCGTGGCCCCGCCCCATGGCGGCCAGGACGACGGCGATGTCGTCCGTGATCACGCTGAGCGTCTGCCTCACTGCTTGACGGTCCCCCTGTAGTGGAGGGTGTTAGCACCAGGTTAACACTTGCTATCCTTCTCTATATATAATTCTCCATTGGTAAAACACCTGGCTTCAGTATCGTTCACGCAGACTAACCTTGGCACGGGCGTGCAAAGCGAGGTCGACGCTGGCTGCCCACCACACCCGCCACGCCACCGTCGTCGCCGCCGTGGGCGTCTCCTGCAGCATCGCGCGTCTGTGGCAGGGATGATGAATAAACGACGATAAATAAGTGACTCGCTATGTATAAGGTTGCGATGTCTGATAATATTGCAGAGAAGAAAATTAAAGAAATGACAACTCACTGCAACTTAGTCTCTTTCCCTAATTCTTCGATGGCTTTGTGAACAGCGCTCTTCATGGCCTCGCGAGATGCCTCCACCACCTGTTGCACGCCCACGCCTACATTCACGCCCGCTTCCCCGCCGCGCTTCACGTCCTCGACAAGAGCGACCGGCTCAGGGAGGCTTAGCTGCTCTCCTTCGGCGCTCACCAGGCCCGTCACGGCGTCGTCCGCGTGCCTTACCGCAGCCACGTGGTTAAACAGCTGGAAGGCATAAGCGAAGCCGTTAGATAGTAAGTTGCAGGTATAGGTTACCAGGCTACAATAATGAAGCGGAGCCAGAAAAGATGTACCTAACAAGGACTCCGAGGATACTTTCGGGCTCTTGGAAGCACCACTCCTTCAGGGAAGACTGACCTTGGCGATGACGCTGTCGAGCGCGTCCGGCGAGGGCTGGGCCATGAGAGCCATCACTTCGAGGTCCGTCAGGAAGTACAGGCGGGGGCACTGCCTTCGAGGTCTCGCAAGGGCGTCGGCGAGCTCAGCGATGAGGCGTCGGGCGAGGACGTGGAGGCCCGACACCTCCTCCACGTACGAGGGATTCGCTGCCAGCTCCAGCACGAAGGAGCGGCGCTCCGTCCTCTCGAGGAGCTGTGAGCGAGCGAGGAGTGTCCGGGATAGGTTAAAAATGTTCTTTCGTGTCGGGCTGTATGACAAGTGTTTGAAGATCTATTTATTAAGCTATCTCATCTTTATCTTTACTAATCCACTCGTACTTAAATATTTATTTCTCTTTCATTGGTTTTCCTTTTCACCTTCGTTTTACCTGTCTGTGTTTAACTCGTAGGTTAGAAGATCCCTCGATCAGGCTGCTGACGGCAGCTGACAGCAGGAGAGAGATGTCAGCTTGGGCCGCCTGCCACACCTCTAGCAAGTCGCCCACCGCTACCAGAGTCTTGGCCAGACGTCTCGCTTCTTCCTCGAAAGGCTTGCAGTACCTAAAAGAAAAATGGAAAGTGAAAATACGAAAAGATGAAGAAAAAGAAGAAAAAAGTAACGATGAAGAATGAAAACAAAATCTTTTGACCGCCAACATCCTTCCATCCTTTACTCACTTGGTAGCTCTGAGCGTCTTGAGGGCGAGATTGTGGTGCTGGAGGGTTGCCAGCTGGTCCTCGAGACCTTCCACCCGCCAAACCGAGGTGGTGGTCAGGACGCACAGCCTTGCACGCTGCCAAAACTGCGAGGAAGGTATTTTTTATTGATTATATATTTCTCTTCACTAACTCTAGATCTTCATAGCTAAATAAAAATAGGCAGTCAAGATGAAGACTTCCATTGCTAACTATTCAAACCATTAGAAGTCTACGAAAAATCTTGCTTGATACACTACCCTGGTGATCTCCCTCATCTGGTTGCTGAGGAGGCTCTCCCTGACGGCGGCAGCGACGGTGGAGGCGACGAGTAGCGGGTGGCGTGACAGCCGGAGTTCCAGGACGTCCCACACGCTCACGCCGCCCAGCCCTGACGCTGAGGCCCAGCCGCCGGCGCACCCTGTGGTGAGTTGCATAGTTATCCCGATGGAAAGGAAGCTTAACGAACGTGAGGAGAGAGTTATACACTATTATCACTTCTGAAAAAGACACGACGAGGTCTATGAAATTCGCGCTCCCCAACCTGCGACAGTGACTAGGTGCTGCCAGTGGCGCGGCTGCACCGCCGGCTGCCTGAGCGCCGCCGTCACTTCCAGGCTGGTGGTGTGGTCGCTCAGGCGCTGCAGGAGGGAGCGTCCGACCTCGGTCTCCTGCGCCCCCGAGCATGCCAGCAGCGCCTCCCGTACCTCCTCCACTTGAGTCTTGAGTTCGTCCAGCTTGGCGGTCGCCCAACGCATCGTGCGCCAGGTGGTCTCGATGGTCTGAGCGCGGCCGCGGCCAAGGAAACACAGATCAGGCTTTTCCTTAGGTAACACACTCTCTACCCATACAAACACGCAATGGCACGCTACATTTTAATTAATGATCACACACACACATGCCGCGTACCCTGAGCTGTTTGTAGACATTGAAGACGTCCCTCATCTGGTCCATGACGTGGATAGCGCTGTCGAGGCCCGGGTACTGCGTCGCCGCCAGGTCAAAGACGTCCTCCTCCTCGTCCAGGACGCGACGCTCATCCAGCAGTTGAGAAACCTCTTCGGTGTATTCCTACAGGAGGGAAGACCTGCCTGATAAACTGCCCGGGCATAAATCTAATTTCACTCAGTCGTAGCTCTGAGACGAGAAAATTCACAAATACTGACTTGGTAGCGTTAACCATTACATTTGGAAGCTAAAACAACGTTGCCGTTTCCAGCAAACTCTCCAACCGACTTGCCTTCAGGAGCGCCACGCCCTTGTCCAGGTCCTCCCCGACGGCGCCCGGTCCCTGGGACTCGAACCTCTCACAAAACGTTTGCACGACAGCGCTGAAATCGGCCACCTTCTTCTGCGTGTTGGCCAGGAAGAACTTCTGGACGGGTTCGATGTTCTTCTGGACGGAGGTCGCCGTGTGGTGGAGCACGTCCAGGCGCGCCGACGTCTCCTCCAGCTGCTCATGGTCCTCCCGCGGGACCTAAGAAGTAAACACGTACATATTTACGCGCGACAATAAGCTTCATACTGTCTTTCTTTAATGTTATTCATCTCTCTCTCTCTCGCGTATGTGTGTGTATGTGTGTGTGTGTGTTTGTGTCTTTGTGATTGTATGTGTGTACTTCATCTAGTAAAACCGAGATCGTAATCAGAGTCTCTCTTTATTCACCTGATGAGCAATTTGCTAAACTTTTCTTCTACATGTACAGAAATCTAAATCAAATTTCCGCTTAATTTCCCTGAACTCGACAAGAACTTAGTCCTCCTCAGAAGACACAGGATCATGCACACCTGACACTCCCTTCATGCACATTACACACGCCCCACGCAAGAGACTCACCACGATGCCGTAGACCTGCAGAGTGTGGAACATCTGGCGCACGTCCAGGAGCGCCGTGTGCAGGTGGGCGTGGTCCTGGCTGACACGCCCCACGGCCCGCATCACTACCGTCAGAGCAACCAGATCCTCGGGAGCTGTTTGGAGGTCCTTGTTGACCGTCTGCAGGAGGGAAAGAGGAAGGGCAATGGACATCTGGTTGCGTCCTGTTCGTTTCGGGAATTGGTTATTTAGCATCATCAGTTCAAATGGAAGTGAGGAGTAAAGAGCTAGATGTAATTTCTCATTTATATACGAAGACAATAAACAGTGATACCGCAGAGATGAAAAAAATAATTATGATTGATCTTTACGTGTATGGAACAAGCCAGACTACTTCGTTATAGAGATTGTCACCGTCGTTCATGCATATGGCTACGGCTATAGGACCTACCGTGACCTTGTGCAGTACGTGTTGCAGGCGTGACTTCGCCTCCTTCATGAGTCCTGTTCCTAAGAGCTTGACCCACTCACTGGTGTGACCCACCACTTGGCCCACTAGTTTCCTTACGTCCAAACTGAGGGAGGTTAAATAAAGATCAAGTGTGATGAAAAATATATAACATTACATAACACTTTATTCATAACTAGGAAGCCCTTATAGTGTTAAAACCTATATGAACGAATTTTAAAACATATCTACTTTACTTAATGTATGTAATAATTCATTATATTATATTTTGAAATTTCGTACAAGGCTCCAGATCACCACCAAAGCCAAGTCAGTGGGTTTCAAGGCCATGGCCAATCTACATACAATGCTTCATCATCGTAGTCGTTCTCTGCACTTCTGCTAATGATCCATAGAAATTAAAGTCGGCGCAGTTAATAATCTTTGGCGGAGGTAATTTTTTTCGCACGATTATCATTGTTGTCAAAATTATCGTCATCATCATGTCATTATTAAAGGACAATCAGTTTGATATCTTCTAAGTGATGGCATATTACCTGTAGGCTTAAATTGTATTTACAAGAAATCTTTGCCTCTGATATACAATAACATTCATAGACGGTTGATCTATATATGTGTGCTATTGCATCTTTAGCCTTCAGTACACACCATACATCTTGAGAAAAGTAAAAAAGAAAACAATCAAGAATAACCATCTATCTCTATCCACTCCCTTCTTAACCCCGTAATACCGACATGAGTTAACGAAGACATTCGCCATACTTATAACAAAATCTGTGAAACGAATCACCAATACCTGACGCAGCCGTGGGTGACCTGCTGCGGCGCCTGCGAGAGCTCCGAGGCCAAGTGGGTGTAGAAGCGCAGTTTGTCGTCGTACTGCTTGACGGAGGGGCCGCGGGCGCAGAACCTGGTCACCGTCGAGGACTTGTCGCGTCGCCACACGTGCTCGTACGAGTACCAGCTGAAGAGGGGAGGGAAAACTCTTAGAAGGAGGGAGGGAATGATGGAGAGAGGAAGGGAGGGAATCATGGAGACAGAAAGGGATGGGAGGAAGTAGGGAGGGAGAGAGATTTTTTATTTGATAAACTTATTACATCCAGTGAACAACAGACAAATTTACACAGAAGTACAAAAGGAGAGAGAGAGAGAGAGAGAGAGAGAGAGAGAGAGAGAGAGAGAGAGAGAGAGAGAGAGAGAGAGAGAGAGAGAGAGAGAGAGAGAGAGAGAGAGAGAGAGAGAGAGAGAAAGAAAGAAAGAAAGAAAGAAAGAAAGAAAGAGAAAGAGAGAGAGAGAGATAAAGATAGCAGAGTGAGACAAAGACACAGATATACAGACAGACAGAAAGACAAAATAAAAAAAGACAAAAAAAAAACAAAAACATATAATACAAATAAACAAATAACACACATAAGACAAACAACTAGACTCAGTTTTCTTCACTGATCTACTTCCTCACCCTTGCAGTTCTTTGTCGAGCTCCTTGAT